TTTGATTTTAATCTCTATCAATCAATGCCTAAGTATGACAATATAATAATCTTAAAATAAAGTACAAGGGTAAAATAAGATATGTACACTTAGCCCCTGCTTGTTTTCCCTTAAAAATAGTTTTTTTTTTTGGAGAAACGAGTTGTGGAATAATGAATTTTTTGAAAATGTGTGATTATAAAGTAGGAAAATTTTTTAGATTTATGTGTAAAATATTTTATTATATAAATGTGTGGTTGAAAATAAGTTCGAGAGAAAAAAAGTTTTGATTTAATGAAAGACAAATCGGACTTATTTTTAGATGATGGGGAAATCTAATACAAAAACTAAACATCAAGGAAGGTTTATGAAGTTTAAAATAAGGATTAATAGCAAAAAAACCCCTTAAAAACGTTTTCATTTGCGATATATCTCATACCTATTGAAAATCGCAGAAAATCCCCATATTTGAAACCTTTTGTGTGAAAAACCCTCATACCGTTAAATTTTCCGTTAAAAACAATAAAAATGTCAAAATTAAAAAGTAATAATTGCAATTTTAATACCAAAACTTTTTATTCTTTTACAAATTATATCCAATTTTTATTTTTATTTTTATATATCACCCACAATCACAAACCTTTAAAACTTTATTTCCACCCCCACCCACTCCATCTTCTTCCCCATGAGTAAGCATACCAGAATGGGGATTTTTCGCACCAAAATCTCATGTTCTACCACAGCCACCACAGGTCCACCACCTCCTCTGCCATGAGTCAAAGCCCAAACCAGAGCAATTTTGGGAATCTCCTTTGATGCCTTGACAGCCACCACAACTTTCTCGGCCATATAAGAACCCTTCTCCTGCTTTTCACCTTTCTTCAAATCTCTACTCATGATACAAAAAGCAAAATTTTTCCCTTTCAAAATCTTCAAAAGAAAAACTTTCTTTCTTTTAAAAACACCACAACTCAGAAACAAATAGAGTGCATATGATTGTTTTTATGAACCAGCAGCAAGAAAACATTAAATGCATTATGGCGCCTCTAAGTCCCATCCACATGAGTTGTACTCTTGTGCAAATATAATCGGCATGTTCACTGTTCAACCAAAGGAGAAGCACGGGAACATAATATTTTCCGAACGACAAGACCCTTTTAACTAAGAATCAACTTTGTGAGTCAAGACCCAGTTTCGCTACTGGGTTCATTGCCACAGTGGCCTCCAACACTACAGCTAACTCATATTTAATTTTTGAGTCAAGTGGTGAGCCGTGGCGGTCGGTGGTGGCAGAGGAGGTGGTGGACCTGTGGTGACTGTGGTAAAACATGAGATTTTGGTACGAAAAATCCCCATTCTAGTGTGTTTGCTCGTGGGGAAGAAGATGTATGAATTAGATAAGTTAATTTTAGGGAAGAAGATGGAGTGGCTAGGTGGAAAATAAAGTTTTAAATGTTTGAGATTGTCGGTGATACATAAAAAAAAATTGGGTATAATTTGTAAAAGAATAAAAAGTTTGGATACTAAAATTGCAATTATTACTTTTTAATTTTGACATTTTTATTGTTTTTAACGGAAAATTTGATGGTATGGGGTTTCTCGCACAAAAGATTTCAAATAGAGGGTTTTCTGTGATTTCCAATAGGTAGAGGGATATTTCGCAAATGGAAACGAATATGGGAGATTTTCTGCTATTAATCCCTTTTAAAAATGGAATGGTGTCGCTAAATTGTTATAAAATGCTTATTAACACAATACATCCCTACGTTTGACATTTAGTGAGTTTCACTGTTAAATACACACTTTTAATTTAAAGCTTGAAGGGCAAAATGGTCAATCCACTTCATCTGGCTCTTCTTCAACATAACATACGCATGTCCCTCTCGCACCCATTCCCTTTACATCCTTTTCCTATCATCTAAGATTTTCCCCTTGCAGTGGGTTATTCTCTGCATACAATGGAGGGCAAACTAGGAGAAGGTATTTTTTTCGTTGTGGGTCCATTATTTTCTTGTTATACAGTTTGAAATTTCGAACTTTGAGTGATTAAGGCTTCTTTTCTATATTTGATCGAATTTATTGTTTTTTCACAAGATTTTGTGTTGCAGCAAAAATGCTTGATCCGTTTATTAGAGAGCCCGACGACGAGACACCCACATACGGTATGAATATTGTTCATTCATGATTACTGATTTGCCTTCATTAATTTTATTGCTATGTGGAATTAAAGACTGGAACTTTATTGAAATGAGAAATAGAAAAAGTACTTCAACACTACGGGGGAAATTTTTGAGGATTTGTAGTTTTCATCAGAAATTACATGACGTTGGTTAGGAGTTGAATTTTCTGTGATTTTGGTTAGGTTGAGCATTATATGAAGTGCAGTTCCTTATTGCCTTGATGTGCATTCATACATTTTCATACTACCTTTCACCGTTCATTCCCTCATCACCATATTCTTTTGCATGCAGGTGCAAATTCAAACTACGTTACTGTTGAAGTGCATCAAGGAGGCCACTTCTATGATAAGTCAAACAATCTGGCATATGAACATGAATTCGTCATTTTCTTCGATTTCTGACACGCTTCATTGTTTACCAAAGGTAATTTGACGAAGTTCTTAAATGTGGTTGGTAATGATTTGGCGTTGGAGTTTTACTACAAAAAACAAAAAATGTGTTTAGGGAAAGGGTTGACTAGATTGGGAGTCAGGATGATATTAAAGAAATGCTTAGGGATAGAGATGCGCATCCGATAGTGTAGATATACGTTGCAGCCTCATTGTAACTGCATGCATCAAACTCAGAAGTTGATGCGCAATGTGATGAACCACAAACATTTGACGGTTGTTACGTGCCTTCCGTGAAAGAAAACAAAGGTGGGGAGTATGAAATTTATTGGTCATATCAGTTTTTTCATGAGAATGCTGAAGAGTTGTGGTTACATTACGAGGAAACCATACGATATCATTATGAAGAATATCAAAATGTAGATGATATGGGTATGGAAGATGGTGAAGTTGGGGTTGAAGCTCATAACAACAAACAAAGTAAGGGAGATGAGGTTGAATGTATGGTGGAATCTGATTACGAAATGAAAGATCAATCAATATATAATGTTGAAACTGAGAATCAAAGGGTTAATTTTGATTTTATATTCGGTGTGTCAGATGAGCATCAAGTTAAGGATTTGGATACCAACTACGAGGGCTCCGATAAGTTGCAAAGTATTGATAGTACATATGAGGATGATACAACTTCAAGAAGAAGGGTTTCAACTGATACTTTCAGTTCAAGGACTGGTATGGAGGATCCAAAGTTCAGAAAAATGTAACTTCAACAAATTTTTTTACCTTACTTTAACATATTCTTTATGGATGCTTGATATGATTCCATTTTCTGATTCTTAGGGTTGGTATTTCAATCCAAGTCAATGTTGAAGGCTGCAATCACTACACATTCATTTAGAAGCAATAGGGAGATTAAATACAAAAATGATGATGCTTTGAGATTGAGAGCCAAGTGCAATGGAGAGTGTCCCTGGGTGTTGTATGCTACAAAAGAGCATAAGAAGGCAAGTTGAGTGATCAAAACATATATGAAGAGCATACTTGCCCCCATGGCTTATAAAAAATTCAAAGTCAGCTCAACTTATTTGACAGATAGATATTTATATGTCTGGATGTCTGAAACAATTACGTTGGTGAGCACATTCATGGAGAGGGTTAAAAGGAATGGTTTGGGTGATATCTCGTTTTGGCAAGTGTGTAAAACAAAGGATAAAGCACTTGAAAGGATTAGGGGGAATGTGGTGGATCATTACAAAGTACTGTAGGATTACTGTGATGAGTTGAAGCGGATAAATATTAGGATCACTTCTTTAGTTGAGGGTTATGCTTGAGAATTCAGACGGTTGTATATTTGCACCAAAAGTCTGGGAGGCCAAAAAAGAACAAAAGAAAATAGTCAAATGTGTTGGAGTCTTCAAGTCAGGCGAAGCAATCCAGAAAGTCTTCGAAAAATGAAAGCCCTTCGAAGACAAGTTCAATAGACATATCTGGTGGAGAAAAGAGATCATGGATGACGAAGACATATCGAAAATGTGATAAACCAAGCCACAATAAGAAGAGCTACAAAGGAACACCACCACCAGCACTTAATTAGGCACAGTCTATTAATTTTTTTGTGGTTTTTTGTTGAATGTAGTTTTTGTGCTTTGAAGCAGTTGTTGAATTGTAGATTCTTTTGTTCATGTGTCTGAATGCTCAACAGTATAACAGCCACAACCGCTGTGTTTGAAAGTGTCAATTTTTCCTATTTTAGATGCAAATTTGGTTGTTACTTTTAATTCTGGTTCTGAATCTTTTTTAGTATATTTTGTTGCCGTTTTAATTTGTAGTTTGATCAGCATGTTGAACTGCTGTGGTTAATTAGTATCTTGAGTTGCTGTGGTTGATCAGGGTGTTGACTTGCTATGGTTGAAGGGAATGGTTACAAGATATGACACAGACAGTTTTCCTAAGAATCTGAAACGTAGGGATGTTATGCTCAAAATGTGTTGAAACATAGGACGTTTTACATATGAACCTTTGAAACGTTGGGACATTTTACGCAGACACGATTTGAACGTTGGGACTTAGGATGTTATACCAAAAAAAATTATAACGTAGGGACATTTTGCACTTTGTCAATTTTGGGGAATATCAAATTGACTGTTTCAGTTTTGATGCAGAATTTTGGGACTAAGATTTGTGATTTCTGATATCGATTTGCTCTGAATAGTATGGCGAATGAGAGCAAGAACGGAAGCCAAAACTGAATAATGGAAAATAATGCATCACGTTGGTGATGATAAGTAGTGGACTTCAAATAATACATGCGCTGTTGTTTCATAATTACAATCTAACACACAAGATTTCAAATTCAACAACTTGAAAGGTAAGATTGATTCGTTTTGTTTGATTAATTTTTTTTCTTTTTATTTTTTGAGAATAGCTTGTTTATGGCGGGAAGAAGAGCCAAATTAAGTGGCCTGACAATTTTACGTTTCGAGTTTCAAATTAAAAGTGAGGTGTGCATTTAAGAGTGGAATTTACAACAGATGGAAATACAAAATGAAACGTTGAACTAAGGGTGGAAGGGCGTTTTTCAAAATAAAACGTTGAACTAAGGATGGAAATACAAAAAAATTGAAATGTATGGACATTTTACACACTAAATGCCAAATGTAGAGACCTTTTGAGCTAATAAGCCTATCATAAAGCTTAGCCCTTGTTTGGGATCCATTGTATTGAAAATTAGGGGAAAATGAATTTTGTGGGATAATGATTTTTTGAAAAATATGTGGTTAAAAAAAAAGTAAAATTTTGAGTTTATGTGTAATATTATTTTATTTGAGAATGTATGGTTAAAAAGAAGAAGAAAAAATGTATTTTTAATAAAATGGAGCCCAAACAAGAACTTATTTGCGTGTTTTAACTCCATTAAAAGGTTAAAATGTATTTTAAAATAGTAGATTGATATAGAATGTATGGTTAAAAAATAAATTTTTTTATTTGCATGTAATATTATTTTATTGAACAATATGTTGTCGGAAAAAAGCGAGAAAAATGTATTTTGGAAAAAATGGAAATTGCGTAATTTGCTCTATAGAAATAAATTATAAATATTAATTCAACAAAAAATCATTTAAAAAGGTGCTTAAAATATTTTCAAGAGACTATTTATTTTATATAACATAAAATATTATTAAATATATAGACCCTTTAACAATACTATCTTATTTTTCAGTTTACTTTTTTCAATAAATATTTATAGATTCCTTCTTATCTTTTATTTAATATATTTTTTTATAAATACAATCATTTTAAANTATATATATAAAGAGTCTTATGCAATGTTCTGAGAAGCTGACTTGGATCAAAACTTTAGAGTAGGAAGGTGTGCATCCCACCACGCGCACACATCGACTAAATTTAATGAACACTCATTGAATTTTAAACTTCTTACTACTTACTCATTCATCTTTAATGGGTTACTTGCTCACTCATCTTTCCATATAATTATCCACCCATCATTAATTTAACTATTCTATCTCCAAATGGATGGAAAAGTACACGTGTTAAACGACAATCTTACGTGGCGTGCTAATGGATTTAACCGTGTGCATGTCACCAAAAATCCTCCAACCAAACACGCTTTTATCTTCCTCAAATCAAAACCCCCCAATTCAAAGCCCCAACTCCAAACCCCCCAAACCAAAAATTCCAATTAGAGGACACCTGCTCTCAGGTCCTCTGCGGATCCATTAATTCGGTGGGTCATAATAAGAAGACGACCAAGCGGCGGTGCACCCAGTGGGGGCTGCATGGATGAAGGTAGAGGCCCCTAGCATCGTCAGTGTGAAGGAGGTTGCTCGTTTTGCATATGAACAAGAAGAGCTACAATGACTGGATGATAAAATGTCCTAACAAAACACAGTTACCCAGTCGGCGGTGCACTCACTCTACGATGCTACTTGTCCATATCTTAGTACCGTTGTCACATGTCGGAAAAATAGACGCCAGAAATGCCACGCTGATTTCAGGGGCCAATTTTGAAGAAGGACATTTGATTTCAAATGCCATGGCTCAGGAGAGAAATGTCGGGAAAATAGTTTTGGAGAAATTCCAAGTTGTCAAGATTTAATGACATGTATTTGCCACGTTTGATTTATGTTTAAACGTGTATTTTTCCATCTATTTGGAGAGAAGAGAGTTTTTTTTTTTTTTTGATGAGATTTGGAGAGGAGAGTTAAATGAGTGATGAATGGATAATTATATGAAAAGATGAGTGAGCAGTGAATAATCCGTTAAAAATTAGTGAGTAAGTAGTAACGCGTTTAAAGTTGAGTGTTCATTAAATTTACTTGGCACAAGCGTCCAGCTGAAGCAGACACAACTCACTCCGCAAGCCCCAATTGCTCTTTAAAAACCATTTGCTCTTTAATCACCATCATCGTAACTTTATTAATCATAATTCCAATCTAAAATCTCCGTCCTCCATTTGTCTCCCGTCGCCGCTAATAATTATACCCAATAATCCCAAAAATCCCTTTTTGTTTTGGGCTGATACTGAGAATTGTGGATATTGAAATTTTATGGCTCAGTCGATTAGGAGCGGCGGTGGGGGTGGAGGGAGGTATTATCAGGTGGGGGATTACGTGGTGGAGAACCGTATAGGGTCCGGTTCATTCTCGACCGTGTGGAACGGGCGCCACCGCATCCACGGCACTGAGGTGGCGATCAAGGAGATCGTTACCGCTCGATTGAATTCCAAACTCAAAGAAAGTCTCAAGTCCGAGATATTCATCCTCCAGAAAATCAATCATCCTAACATCGTTCGCTTGCTAGACATGATCGAGGTCCGTATTGCTATTACCTTCTATTTTTTGTTAATTTTTTTTTCTTAAAGATAGAGTATGAGATTATTAGGTTATTCCTCATAATGTGCTGTATGACTATTGGAATGTGAAACTTCATGTCCTGTGCATATGCTATTGATTTACGATTTTTCATCTTTCCTTTTTTCTGTTTTTTTAAACACAGTTTGTGACTTTGGGGAATAGTATACTATAAGCTTGAAGTAGAAAATTTAGTGCTTGTTTGGTAGGAATTTTTGGGGGAAAGAATTGATTTTTGAATAGTGATATGATGGGAAATGTGTGGTTGAAAAAGAATAAAAAATTATTGATGTGAAGGAAAATATTATTTTACTGAAGAATGTGTGGTTGAAAATGAGAATTGATTTACTATATAATTTGAGAATAGAAAAAAAAACAGGCTCTTAGTTTGTTTCAAGATGAATAGGAGGTCACAGAATTATGAATTTAGTTATTGGCTATGGCAATTTAATAGAAGTTCATGTAGTAGTTTCTTTCTACTTTAGCTTCAGGCTGTGGATTGATTGCTTTCACGGATGGAGAGGCAGTAGTGTCAAAAAGTATGGGAAAGTACTATACAGGAATGAAAAATTAAAACAGTAAACTCAAAATGCTTATATGCACTATGAATTTTTTTTTTGATAGAAACTCAATCCCAGGAAAGGAAAGGATCTAAGCAAGAAGGGAATTTTCATAGAAGAATTGATGTTTCTTGTTTTCAATTACGCTGTGGTCTTTATTATTTAGGCTACGTAGTTTTCAAGCTTTTAGGTAAGCTGGTACACACTTTTCTAGTTTTGAGTGTAATTTCATATATTTAAATGGATTCTTCCCTCCGAGCACCTTTTAATGAACTCTACTTTTTTAAAATAAAAAAAGACCAAGGCACATAAGTTATTTGAATGTTTTGAGCTACTCCTTTGAACCAATCACATTTTTTCAGGATCATTGGCTTTCTTAAACACCTAAGATGGCTGTATACCTTTTGGCATATTTGGTGTATATCAATGAAGTTATTTTGTTCAATAATCCAACAGGAGTGAAGTAATACATCATGGCGAACGCTTTGTCATACTCCCTTCCTTTTGTTTCATTTCAATTATTTCTGTGCATGGTATTAGGAATCTGGAAATTTGTACATCATTTTGGAGTACTGCAAAGGGGGTGACCTTTCAGAGTATATTCGACGACACCAAGGAAAGTTACCTGAAGCAACTGTAAAGCACTTTATGCAGCAACTAGGTAGTTTTTATATCCTTATGATTCTTTCTTTTTGTTTCACTTCTAGAATAACACACGTGTTGATGTCTAAAAGCTCCATGCTACAGTGGCAGGCCTGAAAATTCTCCGTGAAAACAACGTTATACATCGAGATTTAAAGCCTCAGGTTTGCATTAAAATCTAAACATATACTTTATTTTGCATCATTTTGATCATTGTTATCAATAAAGTATGGCTAGGAGTTTCAACCTAGACGGTTTAGTTAGATGTCTATAGAAGGAAGCAACAGCAATGTGATGGAAATTTAAGCCATCATCTGCTTATATTTATTTCTCTGATTCTCTCTGTAGATAAACCATCAATGTATATTCTGATGATGTCATTGTTTTAGCTGCTATCCCCCCCCCCCCAAATCCATTTTGTTTTCAAATTTTAAATATTATAACAAATTAAATTTACTCGATGACTGGATTAGTTTCTACTGTAGAAATGGAGATTCAATACTGCTCGGCGCTTACCATCTCAACTTCCATATCTTTTTGTTGTAGAATGATAGGATAAACAAACTTTATAGTTGATGGAGGTCATCATATAAGCACGACCTTCTCTTATAAATTCGTCGTTTTCCATCTCCACCTCTAAACTATTCAAATCTTTGCCCTGATCATGGCTGACACAATGATTTCCCTTGTTTCCTACCCTTATAGTTATATTTCCTAATCTCTTTTTGCAAACTACCATATTGGACAATGCCATGCCCCTCCAGTTGGGCATGTTTGGAGTTTTGTTGTACTTCAATGTTTTTCTGCAGTAAATTTATAAAAAATATACTTTTCATATGTAATATTTAAAAGGCTCAATCTGGTACCGTTGAATTTTAACTTTGTGAGGTAATGTGCAAGCCTCGAGGAGTTTTGAGGCATAAGCCCCAAGATTATTCAATAGATTTAGATAATTCCAAATAATCGGAAGTACTAAAATATGCTCATAATGAGACTAATTTGCAAATAAACATAAAATAGATTAGTAGAGTTCTTAAATTAGTAACCAAAATTGTAATTTATTATTAGTAGAAACAGTTTAGAAGTCTCTTATATCATCACTACTTAAAGATCTTTAAGGAAATCATCAACATACTTGAGTCTCTGATCCTCATTAATTATGAGTTTCTTCATCTCCACTTCCATGGTGTCTTCTTCTCCCCTTCTCCTTCTATGTAAATGTAAAAGAAGAAAAATCAAAACTTGTAAACATTATGGGTTATTAAAAAATATCCCAAAAAGCTGAGGTCTGTAAAAGGCAGGACAAACTGTCAAACACCTATTCACCATTTGACTTAGCCTTGAGTTTTAAATCTTAGTAAGTCGAAGTGCAAGCATCAATAAATCAAGAGCTGTACCTTATCAATGGCACTTGGGGAATAAGCTTTGAGGCCCTAAATTGAAAGCCTCACATGAGGCAGGATTCAATGTGCACTCCTCAAACAACTTTATTAAACAATGTTCCTACTTGTGACATAGATATGTTAGAGAATGTCAGTTAGTAGATGAAAGGTGGTCTAGAAATTTGGTAGAAACAACATGACGGGGATTGCAAAATTATCATTGGGGTAAAAACAGCGATAGAACAATTACAAGGATTATAAGGCTTATTTTTATTTTCTAGTAGACATGTATAATGTCTTGTTTGTCATTGTGACAGCATTTGTCTGGCTTCTGTCGTTTTCATTGCCCAGGTGTGGAATTTGTGTTATAGTAAGAGTGCTGTGAGGAATTTGTTTAGAACAATAGTTCTATGAGGAATTTGTTTTAAACAGGATGCTAATTCGTATTATCTTGTAGCAACATCAGACCATCATCACTTTGTTTTAATCACTATCCGAGACATTTGTTAGACTTACTTCTAGCTGAGAAATCTCTCTCTCTCTCTCTCTCTCTCTCCCTCCCTCCCTCCCTCTCCATCCCTCACACACACACACACGCTCGCGCACGCACATATGTATATATAGGAGTTAAGTTTCACAAGAGGTTCTTGATAAGATCCTCATCTATGTTGTAATTTGTGAACATATATTGAACATTGAAACACCAATGAATGAAATGGAAGTTTTATACATGATACTTATATGTTTGTAGCTATATTTGTGAATACTAAATTGGACAAAAGCAGTAAAGAAAGTACAAGCAATGCCAAACTTTCGAGAGTTTGGCTTTCTCTCACCAAATACCAAGATTCTGGCTAAATGAAATGAGCACCCTACCCCCTTTTTATGTTTTGGCGTCAAACAATTATTTTAAAAATACCCATACTACCCTCCCCCTAAGTAACCTTGAGACCTTTCAGTTCTTTTCAAGGTTTGAAGATTTTTATTTCCATATAAATTGTTGTATGATAACTGTGGAGTGTGGACTATGTCCTTAAAGTGAACCCCATGAAGGAGTATTTTGCTTATTGATTTGGTTTAAGTTGGCACTGTCACTCTAAAGTGTAGCGAATTTATTTTCTGTGAATCTCCATCTTTTCCTTATTTTTGTAAAATGCTGCAAAGCAACTTCATCATTTTTTCTGGTGAGATATAGCAATATTAAGTTAAATTTTTCGTACAGTGGTGGTATTTAAACAAATTATGTAGGATCTTTAATGGCTTTAGCCAGATTAGACCGTTTATCAATTCTTCTTTCATTTCTTATGAGAAGTGAAATTTTTACAAGTATCTTTTTCATGCGAGTTATATTCTGAAAGCCTGAAGGAATGATGCAATGTTTCATATTGAATTCAGGATGTAATGAATATTCTTTGTTGTGTAAATGGACATTATTGATATATTCTATTTGTATGAATCTCATACCTGGAACAGAATCTCCTCCTATCCACTAACGATGACAAGCCCATTCTGAAGATTGCTGATTTTGGATTTGCAAGGTAAATATTTGAGTTTGACATAATGTTTTCTGGCTCATCATCCATATTCCGGAAATAGTTCTAGACGGTAGTAGGCACATGCGTTTTCTGTGTAAGTTCTATTATAATGGTATTCTATATGTGTTTTGTTTTTGTGTGTGCGCGAGGACATCTGTACTACCATCTGCAATTTGTGGACTATTTATAACTTTTAACTGCTCGTGCTTCCTGTCAATCTTCTAATAATAGGAGAAGGGACCCTATTGATACAGATTAGTTCTCTCAGCTATCTAAATAACATTATTATAGCTTTCTTTCATTTTAGTTGACTTGTCTTTGGTTATGCAGATTTTATGAATTCATGAGCATGATCACGATTTCAAGAGGTCCTATGATATAATTGGCTTCGTGATTATCCTATCTATTTAACTAAGAAGTATATTGCCCTTAGTCTTGGGCTTGGTCGGACGCTCTACTCATGATGCATTAATTAACCAGGATGGAGCCTGAAGCATGCACACGCCTTTATTCAAGCTAGAGAATAATTAGGACTATAATCTTCTGTGATTTATGGCACTTTTGGTTTTTCATTAGGAGATATCCTCAATCTTTTTCTTATCTATCATTCCCCCTTTCTAGCTCACTCTCTCCTTCCCTTTTTGTGCTATTTTAACAAGGGTGCTCGAGCTTTTCCTCCATCCTCCCATTGTTTTATATTCTTACTTGATTATACATTAACTATTGACATGACTGTCAATGCAAAACTTGAAGTTTGCAGTTCAGAAGTTCCTTTTTTGTTTGACAGATCTCTACATGGAGACCTTGCAGAAACCTTATGTGGCTCACCACTGTACATGGCTCCTGAGATAATGCAACTCCACAAGTATGATGCAAAGGTGAGATTCTATTTTTACATATTTAAGCAGTTATCCATCTGCTTATTCCACTGTTATCTCTGACCTGAGAACACAGGCAGATCTATGGAGTGTTGGTGCCATTCTATTTCAACTTGTCACCGGAAAAACCCCATTTACAGGAAGCAGTCAGATACAGGTGTGATCAACTTAGGCCCTGTTTGGTACACATTATCTTTTTCATTCTCATTCTTCTACTCATTTTCAACCACACATTCTTCAATAAAATAATATTTTCCATCACATCAATAACTTTTCCTTCATTTTTAACCACACATTCTTCATCAATCTACTATTCAATAATACATTCTTTCAAAAGAATGTGTCCCAAACGCACTCTTAATCTTTTTGTGCAAGTACAGCAGACTTCAGAGTTTTCCTGTGAAAAATATTCTTCACTGCCTAAATCCAATCCTTTTATACTTTTTGCAGCTGCTTCAGAACATTTTAAAATCAACTGAATTGCAGTTTCCATTAGATGCAAAGGATTTGAATCCTCACTGCAAAGATTTATGTAGAAAATTGTTGCGCCGCAATCCAGGTATTCCATGCCTTTGCATCTTTGTGTGGAGTGTAATGTCATCGCTACCAAAGTCCACGAGTAGTTTTAATTTGGTCAAAGCATATTGGAATATGTTTGATGGTTGAATGTATATTTTTTTCTTCTGCTAGTAAATTAAGTGAAAATATGATTACGTTATTGTTGCATTTCACTCCAGAGTCATCCTAAAAACAAAACATTACATACCATTAACGTTTTGGGGCCTATAACCTTAAATCAGTGTTCTTTTCTTTCATTATTTGAACCCTAAGTTACCCAATGGGATTGGCAAGAATTTCAGTATAACATTTTTGTTCAAATAAATTTGTTTTGTGACCTGTTAACTTCTTAACTATGTTGTTTGTAGGAAAGTCATTATTAGGGAATTACCATTTTAGTAATGGGAATATGCTGTGATGCATTTATCTGGCACTATGTCGCCACAGATTTTCGCTTCTGATTCTTATAGATCAACATCATGGACTAATCTGAAGGCTTTTATTCAAATAATCTGTTTTAGTTTCCATTATTTAACAATACTATTAATCTTATCCAAATTTGAGTTTGCTTACATTTTTGTTTTTTCAATGCTACATAGTGGAGCGGTTGACATTTGAAGAATTTTTCAACCACCCATATCTTTCTCAGTTGCAGCCAAGTGAATCATTCAGGTAAATGAGGCGTTGATACACATATTCGTTTTAATCTGATTACACAAGAATTTTCTCTCCAGTCAGAAAGATGAACTTCTCTGTGGTATGCAGGAATAAACAATTGCAAAGACTGATAGATGGTTTTCCTGTCTCTGGAAGGAACACAGTAGAAACTGCACAAGAAGATTGCTTAGATTTCAATCTAGATGATGATACCAGCAGTCCCGATGAGAGCCCATCTTCCTTGAGGAGGTCACCGATGAGATCTATGTATGGATTTTCTCCGGATACAAAAGTTGATAGGAGGGAAGTTTCTACTATGTCAAAAAATTTACAACTTATTTCCAAGTATAGTAAAGCGCCCCATACACCAGAAATTACTGGATTTATTCTTGGTGGCCAGCAACTTTCAGAAGGAAATCTGAATGAGAATCTTAAAACCAACGACCTGGCATCAGTACATAATAGTTCAACAGGTGCTTTTTCTAATATTTCGAATTAATTTTAATGATAGGGTGCCTATATCTAAAGTTGTTAATGCTGAACGATTTTTTCATCTTATTTGCATCGACTCTTTAGTTGTAGATTCACTGGAGTCAATTGAACATGATTATGTCATCGTGTCTGGTCCTCCAATGGATTTGTCATCTTCAGTGCATGCTTCTAAGCCAAATTATTTGCCATCTAAATCTATCCCACCACATAACTTTGGAAGCACAATTCCCACTCCCACTGCTCAACTGCCAATAAGTGGTGCAGAAACTGGTAGAGTGGATTTCATTGGGAGCTTGGAAAGTCACAGCTCTGTTCCCGGGACTTCACAAGGACCAATGGATGTAGAAGACACTTTAGAGCAACCATCAACTGATTGCATGACTAGGATCAAATCATTGCAGTGTTGTGCATCTGCTATCACTGAGTTGGTGAATGAGAAGGTAACTTACAGTGCATCCTTTTATGGAAATGTAGATTACATGTTTTTAATGATTGAAAGGTGCACCTCTCATGGACAGAAACTGGATTTCCATGATTTCGTGTAGTCTTACATGTTGTAATTTATCTAGTAAGCACTTTGTCCCTCAAGTTTCTTGGATTTATACGGCCTTTCCAAAGTAGTACTAGTCTACTCTGATTTTACTTCAGTGGTTCTACACGCTTGCGCTTTGCTACAGCTCTGCTTTCTAAACTTTGGCCAATATCATTTTTTAATCTGTCTTTATTAGTTTTATTTTTATCTCTTTTGCATGTGATAGGCTTTCAAGTCATCTTAAAAATCAGTCTGTTCTTGTACATAAACCTTTTGATGACTTTTACCTGCATCTCAGACACGCCTCCTCACACACAGGACAGAATGTCTTTTCCCCCATAACCAAGCTTGTGCAGTAACCATAGTACTAGGCAGGGAAACTTGATCCAATACCTGTCTGTTAGCCTTGTTGAGTGACGACCTCATCTAAAAGCTCAGCTATGAGTGAAAAATTCGTTATTGATATCTTCTACTGATGTGCAAGGACCAACTCAGCCGATACCTTGAATTATCAATTACATTGGTGCAGTCAAATCACAAACCCTAGAAAAATGTTTTATTGTTTATTGCATGAAAACTAGAGGGAAAACACAATCAAGTGATATGTGGAAGCTACTTATGTGATGTGTTAACCTGGTAGGCGTTACTAAAAGTAGAATTGCTAGAACGTGGGAAACAATCTCGTGGTTCATGAATCCAAAAAAAAAAAGTGATTGAAGCAAGGGCGGACGCAGACATTTTGAGTTAGAGGGGTACAATCAAACCCTGTACAAATCGGATACTTTGTTCTTGATTTTTGAAGGATTCATACTTAATTCGAGATAATCCATATTTACATTTAAAAAATATTTTTTCATTAATATTTTACTAATCATTTTCATCCATTTGATTTCGAAGAGTCATTTTATTAATGTTTTGTTTATCACAAGAAAATGCATATTTACGTTTAAAAATCTTATAATGTATTTGACACAAATAATCAATTCAAGTAATCGAAAGGAAAAACATATAATTAATATTCAATACTAATAATTAATCAAATAAACATAATTTGTTAAATATAAGTCAAATTGGATATAATGAGTTCAGACACCTTTTATATATACAGTTTGATATGAGAAAATGAAAAAATTAGNAATTTGTAGATTCGATTAGCATACGATCGTCGAAGAATTTTTAAAATTTGCATGTTATCGAAATTCAAATTTATTATGATTTTGCTCATATTTGGTGGAGATTAAAATCAAAATTTTAGTAAATTTTGTTAAAGTTAAATAGTCATGGATTTCTTGAAATATGTTATTAAAATTAATTGTTAATTTTGATTTGGATTAAAATTTAGATATCAATCAATACCAAACATGACTTTATAAAAAAAAAACTCAAAAGTTGGAGAGTCACATGACCCCCTAGGACCCCCCCGGGTCCGCCCCTGGACTGAAGGATAATTCTCCCTCACCCCTGATCCAACCTACAAGTTGTCTTGATAGGAACTACTTTGAAGACAATTACATTCTTTATTGTAGGATAATGTGTTTAAGATTGACAAACTAAGCACATCTTGCTTGGAGAAAATCCCATTTACTAAATTTTTTTGGGTAGCCTGCACATGATTGAGGGGTTATCAGATCTTTGCTCTGTCTTGGTTTGGTTGGTCTTCTTTTCATATTCCATATACAAGCAAATAAAGAAAAAGGTTTAGGATTAAATCATAATTTATGGACTGTGCTCATACTGTGATAAATGAATGTTTCGTGATTTCATGTGACTAGATTCTGGTTAATAATATTTTGAGGCTCTTCTTCTTGGTTGACCTTTCCATGTGCTTTGAAATTCTATGTGATAGATACCTGAAGCAATTATTGAATTCCGGTTGATTTGCACAAGAAATTTAAGATCAGAAACTATATTTTTGGTATATTTTTGTATGTATTGAATGAATAAAGGAACTGAATTACAATGCAACAAAGGAATGAATTACAATAGATTGCCTAACTTTCGAGAGATAGGCACTCTCCCCAGTTTTACCCTTCATTTTTGGATGAGTTAAATGAACTCTCTACACCCTATTTTTAGCCTTCGTGTTCTATCATTATGCTATGATGTTTCTTTGTTTAGATGATCAACTGACAAATATTCTAATCATTTCATTGCTGTTCGATAGGCGGAGACAGGTAAGCAATTGGAAGCATTCTCGATTCAGCTTGTGATTCTTGCTATATGGAAGCAAGCATTGGATGTTTGTCATTCTCTAATGGCATCAACTACTGAAGGAAGTCCAACCCAAGAGACTACAAAATTGAGGTTGCTTTCTAAGGTGCAACATGGTCCTGATGTTCAGGAGCGTCTTGATTCTGCTAAAACTCAGGGGCCGCCGGATATTTGTTCTCAAATTGAGAGAGCATTTCTTCATGAAGTTGGGAATGCAGAGGAACTTTCTGGAGTTATAAAGCCTGGTATGGATATGATGTCTTGATTTTTGATAATCGGCGTTGAAGACCTCGTTTTCTGTTCTATTATTTTGTCAAAATAGTATTGTCAATGGAGGTCCTCCAATGATATTTTCTTACCTTTTTATCCATTGCCATTTGTTTTCAAATATCCCTTTTTCCCTCATCATCGGTAGGCAGTAATACGAGTCCTACTTTTTTTTTTTTTTGGCACTCGATTTAGCTGTTGGCTGTGGTAATATTGATAAACCAAAAAGGGTTTACCCCCTTCATATAAGGATGCTATAATATATATATGAAAATAGAAAAGGTCAAAAGCAACATTCCTTTTTTTTGCTGATTTTGAGAAACTATGAGCTAGGATTTGAAAGTAATAACAAGTCATCAAAATGTAATTTTCGGTCAGGGACCTCAGGGTGGGTGGCTCTTTGACCCAGGCTAAGAGTACACCATTTCTTTTTGTAGCCTACATTGGTTTGGCAATTTTACTGGTCTGGAGACATTTATGCCAGTTTTCTTGTCTTGATTTCAGGAAATAGGGAAATGCCAGATTCAATGGAGCTGATATACCAATCTGCTCTTGCTTTCGGCAGACATGGAGCTGTAAGTACTTTTTATGGCAAATTGCACAATTCCTGAAAGAAGGTTGTGATGATGGGTCCCCAAACCTTTGATTTCTAGCACCCAAAGTCCCAAACCTTTCCAACGTCTGCTACGCCTCCTTTTGTGACGGAAACCGTCAATTTGACCGTTAAAATGTGAAGTTTTGAGTAAAATGACTATCTTACCATTAGTTTGATTTAGCCCGTTTGGTGGCCTTAAAGTTTAAAAAACATAGTTTTGAATAGTATTTTTTGAAGAATGTGTGGTTAAAAAGTAGGGGAAAAGTTTTACGTTTACGTGTAGAATATTTTATTGTGTGAATGTGTGGTTGAAAATGTGTACGAGAAAAAATTAAAGGGAATCAAACAGGGGCTTAAAAAAATTAAAAAAAAATAAAAAATAAAAATAAAGATAATAAAGAAAAACTAAAATTAAAACACCCCGCCCCAACCCATCCATCCATCCATCCGTTCCCCTTTCACGTTGGGTGCCAAATCAATCAGTTTTGCCTTTTATCTCTCTAATTTTTCTGCATTTTCCTCCTGTTCTAATTTCTTTTTAATTATTTCAAGCAATGTGGATTTGATGAACAACAGTGCTCAGCCATATTTTCTTGGAAAAAAGAAAAGATTTTCTGTGTATAAACAAAATTTTTGGGATTGTTAACTACAGCCTGATATTTTGATAAACAGCCAAGAAACACTGGTTCATTAGCATTTTCAGGCTTACTTTTTTTGCAAAGGCAGGTGGGTTTTAGATGGGATCCTAACAAAGAGAAGAGTAGTGGGCAGATTTCTAGAGAGAGAAAAGAAACTGAAGAAGCGTGAGAAAGAGGGAAAATATGATAAAATGTGAATGAATCAATTATTCAGCGCGTAACTATGTGAGAAAATGGTGAAATTAGGAGTAATGAGCCGGCTTTGCATTTTCATTTTTTAAGCTTTACCGTTGCCAATGCGAGTCACCTCTTACATTACACACACACACAATGAACATTGTAAGAAACTGTATGTATATATAATACTTTATCTTTATTAAATTTTTAAGAAGAATTTGTTGGGATTCGATAAAATTAGCTTATGAACCGTAACCTACGGATTAGTCTCTCCGATTTTGCTGTGACCTAGTGGAATTGCCACCGGCGGACCGTGGAGAAACCAGGGGGATTTCCCCCTGGTTACATGGGAAAGGGCTGTCATGTGTGTTGTAGGGGTGGGGGGTGTTTCAAATTTTATTTTTTCTTTGTTTTTTTTGTCTTTTTCTTTTGTTCTTTTTGATTTTATTTTCTTTATTTATTTGTTTTAAATCAAACTATGAGTAAGATGGTCATTTTACTCGAAAGTTGATTTTTTAACTGTCAAACTAATGATTTTTGTCACAAAGGACTCGGGCGCAGACGTTTGTAAGATTGGGAACCGGTTACTAGAAATCAAAGTTTCGTGACCCCAGTCACAACCTTCAAAGGTTCAGGAACCTTAGGTCTTAATCTTATCTGGTAGTAATTGCAGTAGATTAAATTTCATTATAAACGGAGTAAATCATTAATGGCATGAAAGTACCATGTTGTTGAATGACTTACATTTAGCCCCTGTTTGAGACCCATTTTTGGGTTAAAATGTATTATTGAATAGTGATTTTTTGGAGAATGAGCGGTTAAAAAATAAGGAAAAATTTGGGTCGAATACTGGTTGGGCTTAAACTTCAGAATGATCAAAAAGTTTATCTTCTGGCTGCCAATGAAGTGACTGTAACCTGCTTGCTCACTGAGAGTGTTCAATTTAATTGCAATTCATAATGTTGCCAATGCACCTATATAGATATTTAAATGCGTATTTTCACAGTAATGTTAGATAATTTACTTAATTTGTTGCAATAAAAATTATAAAAACTCTTTAACTAATTATTGTGGTATGACATTTTTTTACGAATGATCACATCAGTTTTACAGTCCAATCTTGGAAATTTTTTTTCATGCAACAATTATGACTTCAGTCTGTTCGAGCATGTGCTAAATCGGAAGAAGCTACATCACTTAGAACTAAGAATCTGGGGTTTTTTCTTATCGAAAATAAATAATTTATACAGGATAAAAGCTATCTGATTTTGACATTTGCTTACTGTCAATTTCTAGTTGTCTTGATAGGCTGTGCTGGATCCAGGATACTGATGAGGGGAGGAGGGAATATTGTGTGACATGTGTCTGTTTGGTAAAGAAAATTATGAAACAAATCAAAAGAAATATTGTTGTGTGTAGACTTTGGGTACACTGGTTTGGTAGGGTATCACAAGTGAGAATTCCTTAGGAACTCGGGAATTCTATGAATCATGGAATACAGGTGGTCAATTGCTGAATTTCACTGTTGTGTTTTACATCTATCATTGATGCTTGTGAAGTTATAGCTCTTAACACATCTACCATTCTATGAATCATTGATGCTTGTGTTTTAGGAACTCGGGAATTCTATGAATCATGGAATACAGGTGCTCAATTGCTGAATTTCATTGTTGTGTTTTACATCTATCATTGATGCTTGTGAAGTTATAGCTCTTAACACATTGAAGCCATATTAGAAAATGTAATTTTTGTTTCTAAAAGTGCTTCTAAATAATTTTGTATCCGTAATGTAAAAGTTTATGAGAATTGGATCCTTCAGAATTACATCAGTAAAGAATATGTTCTAGCATAGTTATTAAAGAAGAGCCAAGAAAAAAAAAATACAGATGTGGAGTTCCATGTTGGAGTAATTATGGGATTCAAGCATAATCATGCCTGGGAGTTCCCGTCACCATGGCTCTACTCTTGACCATACTTCATGAGATATTTAGAGTCAAGTTACTGAGTTTTTATTTCATAGATAATGTCAAAGATGTGTTTATGACCATATTCTAAAATGCAGGTGAACGAGTATCTGGGTGATACAAAAAATGCCGTGATATTTTATTCAAAAGCAGTGTGCTTATTAGTATTTCTTCTGGTCGAAGCACCATCCCTCATTCTGAATCCTCGGTTTTCTCTAACAAACTCTGACCGATTTAGAATTAAGAATTACATTGAGATCCTTAAAAACCGGCAGAGTATTTCAGAGTCTCAAAGACTGGCTATTTTCAACTCTGAGAATCAGCAACCCTGCCATGAAAGCCAGGGCAGCTGTTGATTCCAAATGGTGATGGGATAATATTCTACTCTGTATATATTTACTCTGTACAGGAATTCTTCGGGTCTCTGGGCACGGGATTGAACCTTTTTGTACATGTGTAACTGTTTGTGAATGATATTCACACATCACTTAAATGCCTGAAGTACTTAATATTTTGGCAGGTTTTGCTTCTTGGGTGTTCTTTTTTGCATTGTTGAATGAAATCTTTAACCAAGCCAGCAATTCGGATAACATTAAATCTGGAATTTACAATTAGTTGGAAATTACTTGATATTTATTGGTAGTTTGTCCAAATTGCCGTAAAAATAGCAGGTGCGCAACTTTCCCGACCTTTTTATCCTATAGACCCCGCAGCTCCATCTCTCCTCCACCAGTTTATCGACAATGGCAGAAGTTGCTATGACGATAACAGTGGAAATATAAAGCTTTTATGCTTGGGAAAATTACCAAAAACCATGCTTTTAAAATTTGATTATCACAAATCAGATCATTAAGAATTTTTTGTCAAAATTCAGGTATTAACTATATTTTAAATATATATAAAAATATATTTTTAAATAAAATTATTCAATCGCTGAGCAGCCTCCACAGTGTCACCATTCATCGGACCCATCTCTTCTTATTTTACAGTATGTCAGCTATATTGCTCGGCCCAACTAAACCTAGCATTATTTCTGCCAGTACGAAAAATCACGATAAGGTTTCTGAGATAAGAGTGTATGAACATCCCCCAAATGGTAGGTTCATTGAACAAATTTTCAGTTCAATTATGAGATCTGATGTTTGCTTGATGCTTGCTGTGATTATTTATGTTGAATTAATTAGATGGTTTACTACTTATTTTGCTAATTCTGCTATGTTATTGGGGATCTATATTATTTTTCAAATTATTTTTTATCTTTGAGAAGTCTTTTGTCAAATTATTGGAAATGAGACGGTAGAATGTATAGATACAAGGATCTATTGGTCCTCTATATTTGTCAATTTGTATTCAAATATACGAAAAAAAAATTCCTGTGTTTGTATTTACCATCAACAAATTCTTAATTGATTTTCAATGACACTTTTTGTGTTTAATAGCTTGTAAAAGTTAGTTTATCTAACGTCCTTAATATTTATTGGTTGAACAGCTAAATTTACCCTTGCAAATCATCTCTTTCCCAAATTGCCAATCCCAGTTAACAGAAAACTATCTCTTTACTCTTTTTGGGTTTTGTGATCTGATTTGGGTAATGTGTGACCTAGTTTTGAGTATTTATGACCTGCTTTGGGTATTGTGTAACGGAATACCATTTTGTGACCTAAATAGTTTTTGTGACTTGTTTTGGATACTATGTGATCGAATACCATTTTTGTGACCTAAATAAAGTTTTGTAATTTGTGTTGGATATTTTGTGACCTGAATACTGTTTTGTGATCTGATTTGGATAGTTTGCGACCTATTCTATAATCCTCATGAACGTGACACGATTTTTGCTACATTATTGCAAGCGTTGCTATAGAACACAATGTATGAGCTATTTTGTACCAAATGTCATGTTTACATTTGTTTATCATAATCACAATTACAAAAGAACAAGTCACAGTTAACATGTGTTGGTCATAATCACACGTTTATGTATGTGTTTGAAGGTCATGGTCACGTCTGACATTCTGATTCATGCAAGATTAAAAATATTTAATAAAGCCTAGCAAATGGTTCCCTGGCAAGATCACAATAATCTCAATACAGAGCATCCTCACGAACTTCACGATGAAATTCAATGCTACTTAGAGAGAGATGTGTGCTCAAAAATAGACAAACTGATGTTGTTTTTATGATGGATTGGATGGATGTTATCTTTACATTTGTAATTTGGTTTGGTTGTAAATGTGGATGATTATTTTTCAACTCTTTGGTACAATGGATGACAATTTTTATTACGGACATGTGAATGAGAATCTGTGTACGATGTTGGTTGTATCGTCGAAGTAACGATTTTTATGGAGGAAAAAGTTTATATTGTATGTATATTAATACGTCAGGTCACAGTCATATGAAAGTGGGTAACAAATAGTCAGAAATTCTTGACAGCTTACAATTAGTCATAATTAATACATATCTAGTCACAAATAGATAAAGTTACCACGCAAGAGGACACAAATGATCACAAAGAACTAATTACTTGTCAAAAACCAAAATTTTTCTCATGTTTACGTAAGTCACTATTAAGAGCAATGTATTGTTGCATATATTCATAGTTAAGAAACAGGTCACAAAGAGTTAGAGTTAACACATAACAGGCCATTTATATTCAAAAATTTATTTATAGTAGGTCATAGACGGTCATATTTAAGCAAAAACCTATACCATATAGTAACAATTAAGTGATATTAATTGGTAACAAACGGTCACAACCATCACAAATTATGTCACAATTAATAACTGATTACATAGCCCTGAATACATAAAATAATAACCCAAACAGACATGTCACAACATAAAATGGTAAACTAAACATGGTTAGATACAACACAAACAATCCATTCAATATGTCGCATTCAATAAATATGTTCACAACTCATAAATTCATGAATGACAGAATGAATTCAGAATTTCATATTAATATCCTAAACTTTTATATCCTAAACTTAATGCAATAATTTGTCAATTTATATAATCCAACAATACCAGTTTGTGAATCAATATATACCAAAATTAATCTGGTAACATGTGAATTTTTTTTATTCATACAAACACGTTCATTTGTGTGCATCTAATTTTTTTACAATAATCTATATGTACTATCGTGCGGATACTGGTGTACAATTGTTAATTTTTGTATTTGCCTGCCATAATTCTGCCAGCTTCAGTTTGTCCACATTCAATTTGTATCAATTCTGCCGATTTTAGTTTGTATCAATTCTGCAGATTTTTATGCATTAATTTACATCAATTCTGCCACCTTTAATTTGTGCCACAATCATTACATTTTCTTGCTTAATGTTTATAATTTTTTGCTTAATGCATTGAATTTACACGCCGTTTACGTGTATTGCTTTAGGTTTGCCAAAATTAATTCAAGTTTGAAATTTTCCTTTTCTAATACATATTTGGTAATTAATAAATTTATATCATGTCTGTACGGTAATTAATATTTTTAACTTAATTAAATATTTTTTGATGTACTTTAATAAATTTTGAATTGATATTTTATCATATTGTTGCTCCTGAAGTAGCACAACATTATAATTAGTATTCTCGAATAATATTATTTGCTCTTGAAGAGTTTAAATTATAATTTTCAATATTCCAGAAGAATATTGACATATTATTCTTGAAGAAGTAATAATAAAATACAACGTGCTCCTGAAGTAGTACACGTTTTGAATAACATACTATTTTAAATTAGTGTTTATCCCTGAAGGGAAACACGTAACTTATGCCATATTGATATTGACTTCTCTTATTCTCTTATCTTTTCTCTCTTCAGTATTCTTTTTAAGAAAAAAGGGTGAAAATACACATAGTATATATAATGCATGATCCCTTTAGATGCACACATAGTAACTCCAATTATGCTTCTGCCCAAATTCCATTCTCGATTTCGTAATTCGTAATTGCATGTATTAGTTTCCTTAATTGTGCATATACATTGAAGATTGTGCACTCAATAGCCGTAGTTGCTCAATTGTCTTTATTACTTATTTGAAGTAGATGGTACGTATGCATATTCTAATTAAACTCTTTTCATCAATTATTTTATTATGTTTGCATAATGATTATTGAATATTATTTGTGTCTTTAACCTAAATATTTTTAAATGTTCTTTTATAAATTTTAAATTGATAATATATCATGTTGTTCTTCCTGAAGAAGCACAACTCTATAAATAATACATGGCTTCTGAAGAGCTAATGTTTCTAAATAATAATTTGTTGTTACTCTTGAAGTAGTATAATATTATAATTAATATTATATTTTTCAATATTCTATAAGAATATTGACATATTGCTTTTGAATGAGAAAAAATAAATACAGCGTGCTCTTGAAGTTGCACGTGTTTCGAAAAATGTATCATTTTGAATTCATATTTATCTCTGAAGGACAACATGTAATTAATGTCATGAGAACATTGATTAGTTTGATTACTTGAATAATATATGATTATATAATGTTTAATCATATTCTCCAAAATTAAATAATTGAATTATATCTTATATTGAACCAGAAGTTCAATTTAACTTTATTGTTTGGCATGACCAATTAAATCATCACTGAATCAAATAATGACTCGAAATTAAATATTCAAATAGATATTCAATAAAGAATCGAAAGATTCTTCAATCCAATGAAATCATATTTGATGTTTGTTCACTTTGTTGAAAATTTGTCATTGATCGTTACTAGTTAAATAAGGATTGAATTCCCTATATTTATGAAAATTAATTAGGGTGATATATGGGGCCCCATCACCCTCCAAGTTGGCAATCTAAATATTATTTGTATATAATAGATATGATACAAATACTAAGGGGATGTTCTCTTTGTGTTT